GGGCACGGTGGCCAATTGCTAGGGTTACCACCTAAGCCACGTGAGGTAGGCCGCTTTGAGCTAGGACAGGATTTGAAAACTACCATTTCAATTTAAAAAAATCTGGATTTCACTTAAGCACTGAGTTCATACTGTGTGCTGATTGGTCAGTCTCCTGTAATCATGCATGTGACACTGTTAATGTGAAACAGCTGGATGAGTCTTTCAATCAAGGAAACAAACCGGTAACCGTGCAAGAAGAACTGAACTATTCAGTCAAGCACAGGAGCCTTTCAGTTTTAAGGTAGTTTCTAAAACCTGAAGTGGCTCACAGTGTCCCCCTGACATGGATCAGGTGGTCACCCTGCCGCTCCGGTACTGATTCAGGCTCCAGGGACGGGTTTGCACCAGACAAGCAAACCAGGGATACTTAGTACGCATGAAATGTATTACTGTCGACTGTAATTCCATCGACTCTGCTTTACAATTTGTGATGAATCACATTTGCACTCCATGTTCATGAAAGGATTTGTTTAGCTTTGAATATTGCTTAAAGGCAACTGATGAGAATGCAGACACTATTATTTACTACATTTTAGTATTAAATTGTAACTCTACAGCACGTAGAAGAAAAGCGTTGCGCTAACAATACAAAGGTTCTGGGTTCAAATCCCAAGGACTTCACATAAATTGTAACCCATCCCTCTACTGTAAGATTCTTTTAATAAAAGCATCAGATACATGGGCAGATGTATTGATATTTTTTATATGTCTGGCCTGGCTGTGTGTGGGAAACCATGTTCTGCCTTTGCTTTGATTCTTTGGAAAAATGTATCAGTAAGATCTGTTTGTGACGGCCATTAAGAGCCCACAGTATCTGTCCACACATGTAATTAAATACTGAGCTTTTTATCAGTTACAGACTGGCAAGAAGATTCCATTTTCAAGGAACCGTCTCCTACAGTAAAAGGTGTCGTCCAGTTAACCAAGTGCTTATCTGGAAAACACTATTCAGGAAAAAGATATATAAATTCAGAGCTAAAAGTGAAAGCACAGCAGTGAAGCGGCCACGGAAAGCTCACTCAAATATTAAATGTATATGAAACTTAACAAGTGTTAAGTCTGGAAAGTCACACAACCAATGGCATGAAAGTTTGATGTGGGGGAGAGAAAATGTAATAATTCATTAAAATACAGGTTATATATTTTGGGGGATGAATGAAGCTAAATTAAATTGTAGGGGGTACATGTCCCGGTCCTTCCAACCCCCCGGTTCCTCTGTCCCTGCGCACAATGAGCATTAGTGCTGGTTCCTGATTGTACTTGAATGGTCCTCAATGTCATGTCCTCAGACTGAAAATGAGATGATATTGAGACTGCTCTGGGTACACAGGTTCAGACCTTTACAATTGCAGCCACACTTTTGCATCGATCTTGACTTAAAGATCTTGAATAGTTTATAGCTATTCGTATAGACCCTCCCCTCCGTGACATCACCGGCTGCTGTCAGGTGACACAACCTTTATATAAAGGTATTTAATAATGAAACCATCCTGTTATTCTCTGCCTAGATCCTGTAGCTTCTGAAATAAGGTCCAAGCCCCCCCCCCCAACCCTGCATAGAACAAATGGGTATTGAAAATGGATGGATGGATGGACGGATGTATGGATAAACTGGTGGATGAATAATGAAACCATGAAACCATTTATTCTAAATAAAATACAAACATTTCATAGCATTTCAGAGTTTGTGTCCTCCCTTCTAAATTAGGTATATTGGGGGCAACAGATTACAAGGTGGTTGTAAAAGTAGAATGAAACCTGAGATTGCAGGTTTAACTCCTGGTTTTGTACCACTGAGAAAGACAATTATTCTAAAATCCATCCATCCATCCATAAGCACTTATGCAGTACATTACTGGAGTGAACCAATCACAATAAGTGCAGGATACAAGGCCAGAAGGTCCCATCGTCCTGAATGGGATGCCAGCCTATCACAGGGCACAGGCTGACATAGTGGGGGCAAATCAGAGACCCCTTTTCACCTAAATCAAATCAAAAACATTTATCTGTCACATCACTTGACACTGGGTAAGTGCAAAGTCCCACAGCAGCAGTGATTACTGCAAATAAATCATAAAACAGAACGAGACAGCACTGCAACAGGAACTACACTGGAAATGACAATATACAGCATTGTACTAATAGATAGTGTGCAAACTGCAACAATAAATATATTAAATACAAGGAACAGTTGTATAAATTCGGAACTGTCAACTGGAACGCCACCTGAAGTCAGAATTATGACTCGCAAAGTTCGAGGAACCTCTGGAACCCCACCCTCAGAATTCAAGATGGCCGCTCCCTTTATCAACAGACATCAAGGCTGTAGGTACAGTATATACTGTTTATTTGCACTTACATCTTATTTGTGGCTCATTAAATCGGTCGTACACACAGTACTGTCCAACCGCTATCTGTGGATATATTGTTACAGTGGTTTTATGCACAAAATACTGGGTAATCTGTTGTTATAAACTGAACATTATTGCTAATAATGGCTAACAATGAACCTGACTGGAAGTGGGGCGTGTTTCGGAAAGCAGGACTTCTTGCTTAGTTGGATAACTTGTTGGGTTTAGGGTAGCCTGGGCTAAATGTTAGTGAACATTTAAACACGAGTACCTTATATCTGACAAGTGCCTATATTGGATGGCAGGAGGAAACCAGTGTACCTGAAGGAAACCAGTACAAACATGGGGTGAACATGGAAAGTCCATACCCTGGAGGAGCCAGGCCGCAGTGACAAACACTAAACCTGCACACCATCCCTTAATTTAAAATGCTCAAGTTAAATATCCAACTATGAATAAACAGGAAAAACCTCCTCATTATAATACTCTGATGTCATATTACCACAAACCATCGGAGTCTGGACCTGATCTCCATTATTTTGATTGCTTTGCAGTGTCTATAAACTGATGGTATCTATCACCCAAACTGGCAGAGTGCAGTGTTTGAAGTTTTTACTGTAGAACCTGATCATTCACACTGGAGAGAAGTTTCAGCAGCCCAGCCAAATTTTCACAATTCTTTGAAGAATGATTTAAATGTGGTTGCACAGAGACTCTTAAATCAACTCAAGAATGCACTAGCTGTTTAAATAATTTGCTAGTTTGATTTCTGTTTTCAATCAGCAACACCTCATTCAGTTAAAAACATATATAACTCAGAGGGTAACTTCCAATTAGGACAGCAATGACTTTGAGTTAGCTGTGAATAACTTAACTGTAATCACCAACAGGTAAAGAAAACAGTATTTAAATGATAGCTCCGTATATTTAAGTGTGACAATCAAACCTAATTTATAACAAGGGTATGGGCACAAGAAAAGTACATTTAAAAACAATCGACTCACTGGGGGGACACTGATGTGTGTTTGGACACGTTGTAAATTTTCAGCCAGCTTGTGCACTAGCCAGCATTCTGTGTGGAATGTGACCCCTGATCTGGTTCTGACAGCTCCTATAATGGGTTTGGCTGTTGGATAGGGATGCACAACGATATTTTCATTTTTGATTGACCCTAACAAGAATGTGAGATTCAGAATGTCCCAAGTAGGCTGGACTTTTTCTGACCATTCAAGCATCAAGTTGGGCAAAACCAGATATACTACTACAATATTTCGACTTTACGGTGGGTATGATTATTCAGTTAATTACATGAAATACTCAACACTTTATTCTAAAATAGGCTTTGTGTTAATGACATTGCCTAAGTGTAGGCTAATGGAAGTGTGTTGAGCATGTTTAAGGTAGGCTAGGCCAGGCTATGATGTTTGTTAAGTTAGGTGTACTTTATTAAAATGCATTTTCTTCTTATGATATTTTTGCCTTATGATAGGTTTATCAGATCGTAACGCCATCGTAACCTGGAGAGAGGCTGTATTTTTAGAGAAATGTGAATCTATGTTTGAGGAGCTGGTTAGGGAGAAAGGGCTAGACCAAGAGTAAGACAGACAGGCAAAGACAGACGGAGACACATACAGAGATAGGGAGACAAACAGACAGTGAGAGACACACATGTACAGAAATAGGGAGACAAGGAGAGGGGGAGACAGACTGAGACAGACAGGCAGAGAGAGAGGGAGACATACAGAGATAGGGAGACAAGGTGAGGGGGGAGAGACTGAGACAGACAGGCAGAGAGAGAGGGAGACACATACAGAGATAGGGAGACAAGGAGAGGGGGGAGAGACTGAGACAGACAGGCAGAGAGAGAGGGAGACATACAGAGATAGGGAGACAAACAGACAGTGAGAGACACACATGTACAGAAATAGGGAGACAAGGAGAGGGAGGAGAGACTGAGACAGACGGACAGAGAGAGCGGGAGAGACTGAGACAGACAGACAGACAGACAGACAGAGACAAACTCATGCAGAGATAGGGAGACAAGGGGGGAGAGAGAGAGAGAGAGAGAGAGAGGCAGAGGGAGAAAAGCACATAGAGAAGAGAAAATAGAGAGAATGAACAGAAGAACAGAGCCGGGAGGGGTGGATGAAATCTTGTATCTTGTGGTTTGTGCCTCATTTCCAGGAGGCAGTGAGATGCTTCCCGGCTGTATAGTCAGCTCTTCAACCCCCCCAATCCACCCCACCCCAAAGTTCAGGTTCAGGTACAGTGCTAAATAGTTTGGACTTTAATAACCATGACATCAGTCCAATAGGCTGCACTTTCAGATTAGCATATTTTATAAATGTGCGGTCAGGATATTCACATTATTACATGATTCGTCATGCTTCAGGTGAAAAGGAACAACTGCTCTTTAAGTGTTTTGAAAGGGATGGATTTATCAGTGCTGCATTAAATTATTAAATAATTGGCTTTATCCGAGGGAAAGGTCAAAAGTAATATCTATATCTATCTATACACAAACGGTTTCATTTATCTGAGCTTCCAGTCGAAAAATAGTGTCAGTATTTGTATATAATTCGCTAAGTGGCAGTATATTACTCCAATACAAAACAAATTGTCTAGCTGCTTCACTAAAGCTCACTGGAACTTCTTAAAGCGCATCGTAGGATATACACCTTTCTGTTGTTGCGGAAATATGATTAACTATTGCACAGGAACAACACACAACCCAGAACGGCAGCAGAGTCGGTGAAGGCAATGAAGGAGTCAGTCACACCGTGCATTTCCCGTTGTTTAAAGGGAGTGGTGCAAAAGAAAGTAAACACAAAGTGGAAGTCAGCACATTTCCAGTCCTTGCTGGGTCGGGTGCGATCGCCGTAAAACTGACGCTCGTTTTATCGCGTTACACTAATGTCCTCACTTGTCATAATCGCTGATAACCGCATATACTGTATTGATCTGAAATGGTGACTGTGTGAAATATGAGCGAAGCATACTTAGGAGCAAATTAAGAGACAAAAGAGCATTTCACATGCGTCTGTTACCGATCGCCGCACTCGGTTACCCTTCACGGAAAACGGATTGACGGAAAAGACGAGTGGGGGGGGGGGGGAGCTGTACAGCACGGATCGACTCATGACTAGGAAAATAAAATGTCTTATTTCGAATCCGGTCTTAACGTGTTTCTAATTAAAGACATGCCGGGATAATCCACATGGGACGGGTCCCCGAGTCTACAGCACAGGATAAAAAGTGAGAGTCCCCCGCAGAGGGACTGACACTGGCACGGACAGGAGTTTGTGAGCGCAGCGCTTCTCACCCTCCAGCAAGAGAAGATGAACAAATCAAATATATAAAGCCAAGAAACCTCTTTGGGCAATGGTGCAGTGATTGCTCTTGGAAATTAATGTGGATAAAACAGCGCCAGTTGAAATTTACCACCGTGTAGAACTACCGGGCGCTTTGGGACTTCAGTTGCGAGACCGTATACACCTGCGGCAAGAAACACTACGCTACAGGTAACTAGGATCACAAATGGTATAGCCTAGCCTAGATGTACTTATTTCGCCGAAGTTTGTGATATTATTATAGGCTACGTGTTTAAGATTGTTGAATTTTCTTTACATTGAGAATAAACCGCAATGTTTTAATTTCATAATAAGCTTATTTTGATTTTACAAATTTACAAAAAAATATTTTAGTCATCATTAACGTAAAATTATTGCTTGGTTGCGATTTTGTCTTTATCATGAAAAAAACGTAAACAAGGGAGTTTGTATTTCATGTCTCTGGATCGCTTCATTCGCTAAACAGTCATAATGGATAAGGAAGTTTTCGGAAATAGCCTACTTCACGTCTGCTCCGCAATGTGTTTTTCGTGATAGCTCGTATTAGGTGTATCACTGCTAAGACCACTTAAATTATTTCAGGTTTATAAAAACTAAATAAATTTATATATATATATATATATATGTATGTATATATATTAGAAGCGAGCTCCAAGATCTCTTCAGCAGCGATGACCGGGCTGCGCAAGCACAGTGTGGTGGGACTCGTCATCTTGCTGTGCACGGCGGGGTCCTGCAAGTACAGAGCCGTCACTAAAAACCACAGGGACGAGAAAAGTGTTCTGGAGCAGATGATGGACATTATGAAACGGATAAAGGAGCAGCAGCAGGAGGACAGCGGGGAAATCACCGTGAGCATTGCGCTGAAGAAGCAGAATCACTCGTCCGATCCCATGGAACTGCAAGAATATAAATCTCATAAAGACGGTCATATTCTTGGTGAGCAGTCGTAAATTAACAGTGGGGAGTTCATATGTGCTTAAAAAAGATTCAAAGCTTTTAAATTACTGTGGCATTTACGGTGTTCGGTAAAAGAAGAAATATTTAAAGCGCTTTTGGCAAATGTCAAAAATCACTGGTCGAAATGGATGGATATCGAACGGTTGTAAAAGTGCAATATCAGAATCAGAATACTTTGATTATCCCGGAGGAAATTACGTATTTTTTTTCCTTACCAGACCAAGAGCGAGTTGTTTTTCACTGTCAATTTGTTTTATGTTGCAGAGATATTCCCAAGAGATCTAAGAAAGAAGGATAAGTTTATAAAACATTTAACAGGTGAGGCACGGAGAGTCCGTGAGGGTCGGCGCGACCGGGGGGGTGTGACGGATTGCCTAGATGTGCCGAGTCCGACAAGCTGCTCTGTTTTTCCCCAGGGCCTCTGTACATTAGTCCGAAGTGCAGGAAGCATGTTTACAGACTATACCACAACACCAGAGATTGCACGGTTCCAGCATGTAAGCTTTATTTCATGTTATTTCTATAGCTATAGACTGAAGGACTGGATTGCAGCGGGGAGGCCAATTTGCGGGTCGGAGCGATCCGCTGGTAGGCATACTAAATCAATAAGTACTGATTTTTTTCAGACTACAAAAGATGTGCCCGACTGCTCACAAGGTTAGCCGGGAGTGCGCGATGCACGTAGAGTTATCAGGTAAGAAGTGGTCGAATTTTGTACTTGCGTGGTAGAAATGCCTGGAGAAATATGCCACTCCCTCCAGGTTTTAACTCATTTTAAGGCTGGAACCTCTTACGCATACCTCGGCTTGTTTGTTTATATTGTTAAATGCCTTACGTATTAGACACATATTTACAGCATGACAGAGGTTCTACTCAGAGTTAATTTTGTATTTTGCCTTTGCGGTTTAATGGTTTACAGTGATGACCACAATCTTTTCTCTGCTTGATTAATTGCGCAAAAATTGTAGGCCTGCCCATGAAAAATGCTGAAAAATATTTTATGGCTTTTTAATTCCTTTCAGTCGTTATACATATCGGAACGCCAAGTTCTTGTCTTTTTATCAACTTTTCCACACAGCACTTGTCCTCAGAGTACGGCATTAAAGTCAATTTTACCTCCCCTTTTCAGATTTAAACAACACCAGACATGTGTTGTCAAGTTCCAGGAAGGACAGAAGTGCCTTGGAGTGTAAGAGAGAAGAGAGCCGAGGCGCAATCGATGAATATCCCTTCAGTGACTGTGGGAACAGAGATTTATTCTTGTCCTTGTAAGTTTTGGCACTGTTGATGGCAGCGCATTCAAACAGTATGAATCGAGGATATAGCCTAATAAAGTGTGCTCCTGTCCTGCTGCCTAAAGCCACTTCCACCAAAAAGACAACTTTGTTGTTGTTGTTGAAGAAGAAACGACACACGTCGCGTGTCTCAGATCTTGCCTTCCTGGCTGTATTTTTCTAACAGGTTTTTTTCGCGCCCTAACTGGCAACTACCTGACAAGAAGATTGTCTTTGCTCAGTAGAACCAGGAGTTAAAGTCTGATCTCACCGACAGTGGAGATTAAATTAACTAATTATTCACTGTGTGATGAGGCACTTTTCGGCTTGGACGAGGGGTCGATCAACTAGCTGGATAGTTTACATTCTGCAAAAGAAAAAAAAGCAAACTATTTCTTTTACATTTGGTTGAGAGCCATATATTTATATATGGCGGCCTCTCTCTTTGTACTTTAAATGTGTAACATTCTAGCTATTGTGCAATATGTACATAATGTAAAAAAATATAAAAAAATGAGTGTTTGGTATATAATGCGAAAAGGATGTTGGAATATTTAAAATGAAATATTTAAATAAATGACAGGATTGCTACATGCTGGGTTTTGTTTTTCTTCATTTTTAATGTCAATTTGGACCTGCCAGCTTTACTGATGTCATGACGTCATTCGCGGTTGCCGCGAGTTTAGCAAACTCAGTCTTAGGTTTCTGGCTGAGCAGGTAGGTGCAACTGAATCACACATACAAGTGGAGTTTCATCCCTCTCCCTCTCAATCACACTTTTGGGAGGAAGCCATAACAAAGTACCGCTGTCCCAGCAGTCACACCTCCCATCCCTGCTCCTCAGCACGGAAAAAGGGGACACTGCTGCAGCGAGGCAGGGCCCGAAGTCTTCTGCAATCTTGCTGGCTTGAGAGAAATGCACGTTCCAGCAGGACACAGCAGTCAGGCCCAGGAAGGTCCTCTGGGAGGCTACGAAAACTTTTATCCAAAGCCAGGTACATTTTTGAGAGAAAGCAGTATCAGATAGTTTCCAGAGCTATTGGGTGTTAATTATGCTAAAGGGCAGATGCACTCTGCTGACTCTAGGATTTGAACCAGCAACCTTCCGATCACAGGTAAAACTGAACCCCATCGCACCCAAAATCCATTCTCCTTCGAGTCGCAATTGAACCAGTGACCTATAAACGTCCATCTTTATGATTCTACAATCCTCCACTTTGCGAGCCGAGCTACAGAGGGTTCAGATAGTTCAGATCTGTACGTTTGCATTTATTAGTGAAAACACAGAACCACTTGAGATGCCAAACAATCCTTCTCCTAGTGGTTACTCAAGGGCCTGATTCTTGTGCAATCCACTATTTTTTTCCACCCTGAATTTCCAGTGAATGCCAAGAAAAATAATCACACCCTTATTTGAGCATTCAGGTCTCAGTGGTTCAATTAACATTTTTCTAAATATAACACTAATATATTCATATATATATATGAATTACATCCAGGATTTTGAACAGTGTCAATCTAACATTCACTCTTGCAGCTCTGGAAGGAGATGTTTTTTATTTTGATCACAAAATGAAAGCTGACCACAAGTATTTATGAACCAAGGGAGATAAATCTTGATTTTTACATTAGCGATGATTTTACTGCTCAATATTTTTTTCCATAAAACTACTGACAGACAAATCAATGTTCTATTAAACAATCATGTTTTTAATTTAGATATTCAACATAAGTGATCACCTTCATATTATAGTTTTAACTAGCAGTTGATAAAGCAACAGCTAACGAGAATGCGACGAAAGTGCATCGACATTTCTGTGACGTTACTGACCAACACCACTCAGGCAGAAGCATCAAGAGTTGTTTTCCAAAAAGGCTTTGCAGCATCTAAGACACTGATCGTAAACGACTTCAAAATCCTTGTCACTCCCCTAAAGAAAGAAAAATATTCAACAATTTACTACAAATATCGTTTGAACACATAGTTTAAATATTAGTATTATAGCTAATATTAAGAACTTCTATGTCTAGTTTTCTAGTTTCAAGAGACAATGGAAATCTTGCATTCAAAAAGTATTATAAACATGGCTATATTTTTAAAAAGGTATAACAGATTATAGCCATGTTTATTACACATAATGAATGCTCTCAGCTATAATGCATTATAAATACTTTCACAATGCAGTACAAAGCATCCTTAATTCTGACCAGTACAATACATGGGTATAACATGGGTATAAATATTTATAGCTGTGTTTATAATACTTTATAAAGGCATAATAATGCATAATAAGAGTATGTATAATGCAGTTATACGACTCCTTTAAGTAAAGTGTTACCAAGTTAACTTCTGTTCTGAGATGGCAGACGGGGTTTTCAAAAAAGGCAAGGATACCCAAGGCCCAGAGCAAAGCCCTGACACTTACATAATATGGGTCATTGATGATCAGCTGCTTCTGAGGGTCGTAGCTCCCAAGGAGCTCGATCTTAGCTTTGCAGTTCTTCACCGCGTTGGCTTTCCTCTTGAGGTCTCTGTGTCGAGAAAAATGCAGTCATTGTGTCGCCGTGATTACGGCATCTTTCAGTTAGACCGACATCATATGGTGCAGCGAGGATTAAGGAAGGGCAAGGATGGTTCACGGCCCACAAAATCAACCCTGTTTTCATCATGCGCCACAAATCTCAGGTTTAGCAGTAAGGGATGATACTGTCCATTTCTGGAGCCACACAAATTACGTGACAAAGTGCTGTCTGCGAGGACAGGGCCCTGCTGGGCTGTTCCGGGGCATGGGAAACTCCTAGCAATACCAAGCCTGTAGTCAACCCGAACGCACCCAGGGGACATACTCATCTTTAAAAGCATTCAGACATTGGCTCTGATAACATTCAGTCGACCTCTGCCAAGGGACCATGGTAGCCATTTAAAGTCTCATAACGGCCTGAACATTTCGGAATCTGAAACAGGGAATGTCCAGGCCTAAACAGAAACACCCCCTAGCTTAAACCTCAGGGAACTGATCACTACTGCAGGGGAAACGTCCAGAACTCCCCAGGATATGCAGATCCCTGTGAAGCCTGCCCCGCCCCCCCCCCCCCCCCCCCCCCCCCCCCGCCCCCAGTGGAACTTCAGCTACCCTCTAAGTAAAAAGCAGTGGCCAGTGCAGACAGCAAGCTGTAGACATTTAAATAACACTTAACGCTCAGGTTTGTACCCAGCAGAGACTATGTGAACAACGCTAACTGACCTACAACGGTGCCCATCTCCACCCGCACTTCAGCTAGATACACATTAGTCAAAATTAACACACACACTTTTCTCCCAAGGCCTGTAAGCTGATTATAGAACAGGATCCACAGAAGCACATGACAGAGAAATGTTCAGAGCAACAACATATTTCACATTCTGCGTCTAAGAAGTTCATAGTGCTGGACATTCAGACTTTTAAACTTAATTCAACTGTGTAAAAATTTCTGTGACTCAATTACTCTAAAAAAAAAAAAAAAAAAAAAGACATATTTAACACACAGACACATATATGTCAAGGCCTAGACAAAAATGTAAATTGCTCATAGGTTATAGAATTTACAGCACAAAAACTGTTTTATAGTGCATTTTGATTACGATTTTTTTACACCCACAATGCATTTCTGTAGGTATAACCTGCTCATCACTCATCAGTCTTGTATGCTCCATTCAGAAAATACAAGTTTTGTCTGATCTTAACAGGTGTCTGAGGTTTTCCCTGTAAAAATGGCAAATCATTCTTCAGTACTGGGTTGCTAAGTGCAGATGTTGGAGGGAAAGACTGAAATGTCACCCCCCATATATTAGGCAAGCTGCAAAAATATCATAAAACTTTGTGAAGGGAAAACTTTCGCAATCCGACAGAAGACAACAGCTTAACATATGCACATACCTTAAATTGCTTTCATCCATGCATAGAATGTAGTCAAAAGTTTCAAAATCTCCTTTTGTCACCTAAAAAAACAAACATCATTTTAAGAACTAATATAGGATTACAGTGAGTCTGCAGCTTATCCCACGAAGCACAGACTACTGAAAGATGGATGATGGATGACCTGAATTAAAAAATTAGGTTAATGGCTGTTTAATTTAAAATAGAAAGAACTCATTTGTAATCCACACAATTTGCATGCAAGATAATAAAACTATAGTAAGAAACTGATCACTTATGCTTTAAATAAAAAACTTGTCCGACAGTGAAATGAACAGCCGCGTGGCTGAGGGGAGGACAGAGACCAGAGGAGACCATCTTTCACAACCCAAATCTTCTCCCTACCCTCCTGATGTCGCGATACGCTGTTTCGTCCTGCACGCCGCTCCAAGGCCATGAATTATTTTATTTATGAGTTTGTTCAGTGCAGAAACTGTCAGATAGGCAGGTCTGGCACGCAGAATCCTACAGCACTGGGACACGTCTGGTGTATATGGGGGCTATTCCAAGGAACAAGGTGCTTTGGGGTGGAATAGCTGTAAACATGTAAGAGGTGCATCGGACTGGTTCACCTCCGAATAAAGCAAGGAGGACCATTCGAGAGTCATTATCGGCATTTCTGGCCGGAGACATCTAACAGCTGGCAGACATCATGACGACTCTTTTTTTTTTTTCCGGCTGATGGGGCAGATGAGGGTGGCACTATTGTGTGGTGGAACTGAACTGCAAACACATGGATGGGCAGGAGGGCACGGTAAGCCAAGCCGCTTCCGTGGAGCATACCCAGTGTTTTCAAAGTCTTGATTAATGCCAATAAGATATTTGGAGGAAATGATTAATACTTGTCTCTCTGGACAAAGTCAAGCACAACCCTTAATGTCTCCGAAATTATACCCTCCATGTAATTTTTATGTATGTTTTTTAGTGTACAAATATTAAGGAACAGAATGCTAATTCCAGCGAGATATTTCACATCATGTGTTTTAGTAAATTCCAAACTATTTAAATTTTTCTAGATCTATCAGTCAAAGCAAGTACAATATGAAATTTCTCAATAGTGACAGGTATCAGAACAAAAGAAATCTATTACTATATTACTTCTCCCTGATAAAACAATTCCCAGGACATTTAAAAAGGTATATTTAAAAAGGTATATTCACCAGCTACATAGCTTCAGCCTTTTAAAAGACAGGATAGACCATCCTGTTCTGGATTACTGACACCGCAATGTGAAACAAAACACGTCTCGGGGGTCGATTCTGCCCCCTTGGAAAGCAACCCAGCTCTTGTTCTTCAGAGGACTGAACAAAGGTTGGCTTTACATTTAAAAGAGAAAGCTGGACTGCAGCTTCCCCAACTTTATGACACTGGATTGGGGATAGGCAGAGTCGATACTGGAGCTGGAAACCATTTGTGCAAGAGCTACAGTAAGCGCTGTTCTCTCTTAGCGGGAAGGGAGATGTTCTGATCTGACTGAGGCCTGAGCTTGGAGGCCTCCTTAAAGCAGATACTCTTTCATATCCATTTAACTTGGGGGAGACGATGGCTGTCCAATGACTACGTTTATTAAAAGCCACCTCTTTTAAATAATAATGTTGGTAAGCAGTCTCATATTTATCCTAACAGGAACATGCACAGATCATTAATGTCATTACGTACTTCCCAATTCTGTTTACACCAACACTCACCCGTGACCCCAAAGTGCAAAACTCTCCTCTGAGTTCCTGTTGGCTGCCACTCACATGTTAATTCCATTATTCCCTCAAGAAAGCCAACGGCCCTTAACCACGTGCCTGAGACATCACTGCAGTCTCAGAAAGCTGAGATCAGCGTCCTAAAATCCACATACTGATGTTTGCATTGTCTGCTCTTGAAGAAATGGCTGGTTTTGAATCTCAGTCCGATTTTATGGATTGAATGACATCATATTTAGTCCAAATCCACCTAGACACCAACAGGAGCGTGTCTGTTTACCTGTGATTATGGGGATTTCATATCAACTCATGCCATACTGATTTCCTCTGCCCCACAACACCTCAAACCACAAGATACATAAAATAAAGAAGGGGTCAATTTACCTTGTATGTTTTACCATATTCCCACAAGCTCAGGAAAATAAGCATGTGCTCACACACACACACACACACACACACACACACAGGCAATGACAGGGGACGGTGGCACATGTCGATGTACCTGTCGGGCCCTGTGATCTGTCTCAGTGACATGATTCCTGAGGCAGGCCAGAGCGCGGCTGTCTGGTGTGCTGCCCGTGTTCCAGTCGGACACGGCGCCGCTGTCTATGATCCACTGCAACAAAGAGAGGCATCGCTAGCAGCCCATGTTGGGGGGAATGTCGTACCTGCCTGGCAATGTGCCTCATGGGGACGCCGTGCTTCTGCATGCAGGCCTGCCCCCGATGGTCGGGCGGGCTGCCTATCTCATACGTGGAGGTGGCAGCGCTGTCGATCCTCCACTGCAGGGGGAGAGAGGGAGAGAGAGGCGGGCAGAGAGATGTTCCGACCGGGGAACAAAGACGCTCTCATCGACGTGACAGGGGCCGTCAGGCACGTGTAAGCCAGCTACGCAGAGGCACGAGCAGCATGGTGTGGCGGAAGGAGTGCAGCGCCTGCCAGATTTTTTACAAGCTGTTTTTAAAATTTAACCTAGAATGCGAGGCTGAAGCGTTACCCTGTTTCCGCTGAGAGACGTGCCACGTGACTCATTTCCCCGCGCTTACAAGTTATCTTAGGTCAGCGTCTACGGTTTGACTTCTGAGATTCAGATCGAGCTCTAGGTACATTTTTTTCAAACTGGTTGGTTCGACTTTTAAGAAATTCGAGTTCTAATGAGTTCGAGAACTGAGGTACCACTGTATAATGTAACGTAAAATCACAGTATACTAACAGAGTTAAACACTGCTTATGCTTAACTTAAAGCAAACTTGTGGTTTTCCTTCCATCCACAAGGTGTGTATCTAGACACCACCAGCCATATGTATGACAACAGCAGGGGTGCAGCTGTTCGCATAGGAGTGAGTGCCGAACGCGTCAAGAGGCCCAGGTTTCACAGGCTCAGAAACACTTACATCATCACCCACTCCGTTTTCGGTTGCCATCTTCTGGAAGACTGCTTCAGCAATCGGGGATCTGCATATATTCCCTTATGGAGAGATGGAGGTAAAGGTTATCTTCAGTAAAGGCAGGTTGTGATCACTATTCTGCACCAGAACTCATTCCTCACTTTATGCAGACAAAGGTCTGTGTACTATGCTGCCTGGGACTGGCTAGAGCTTCCCAACATCCGCAACTGGGATAAGCGTTTAGAAGACGGATATATTCAGACAAAAGACTAAAACAGGGAATGGAGAAAATCCATGTCCCAATGATAGGTGTGCAGATTGTGCACCTTTATCTAACCGAATTAAGAAATTAATAATTTAGAAATAATCTTATGTGTATAATGTCAAAATTTGTCTGCTAATACTTTTTTTACATTAAGATTTCAAGTTGTTCCAAAACCTACATTCCTAGAATCTGGGCAAATGGTCCTTCATCAATGAGATGCACATGTCACAGGACACCTTCAGCTGAAGGTTTCCCTTCCACGTCCCAGCAGGAAACTTATGATTTATCTGGCCAGAGTGCTTAATTTGAATTGCATTTCAATTGCCTTAGGTTAAGGTCTAACCCTATGAAAGACTGACAAAATGAAAGCTATTGAAAAATACTCAGGCATTTAAAAAAAATCTGCCAAGTCATGATAATAACAACAGCTACAGGGCCACTTGGTTACAGGCCAACGACCCCTAAAAGCTTCGTCCAGTGAAACGTCCAGTGTTGATGGCTGATATTTCCATTTGCATGTCACTTGACTCTGCAGTCACAAATACACACAATCTACATGACGCTCAGACTAATTTTCACATTATAGGACAATGATAACAGACAGTGGCTACTTAGTGATGTAATGGCAAGTTTTCTGCTCCCAGATTCTAAACCTAATTCTGCTGTATTATTTTTATCTATGTATACAAGTATTTCTTACACATACATGCAATTCCAAAAGCAACAAACACACCCTGAAACCAAAACATGCAACTTAAGTCTAAAACTAAATTGACTAATTTGACCTTCAGATTAGATTTGAACTTCTACTTAAGTGGGAGCGCAATATTCCACAAAGGTCATACTACTAAAAACTGAAATTCAACTATTTTATAAAATGTAACTCACTGTCTTAGTAGCAAAGATTAGCATCAGCATTTAAGTTTTTTGTATAGGGGTACATTTGATCGTTTAAACCCTGAGTTTATGACAATCTGCTATGTCAACCAACTTCCATGTCAATGAACAACGTACACAAAAATTAAAACAACAGCTTTACTTTAGCGTCATATAACATATAAACAAGTGAAACTATAATGCCAAGCACTAGTTTAAACGCAATTTCAAGTTTAGTTCCAATCATCTAGCCGTAACACAGTAAGGCTGTAAGTAGACTTTAAGGAATAATTCATGACAAACAGCCAGAGGTTTATCAAATGTTTTCAGTCAATTTACAGTATTTACACGCTAATCTAACAACCTCTCACCAGATCAGCTTGGACCAGCTAGAAAACTCCAAGCTTGCTGCCAAAGCTGTAGTCAGTTGTAAACTGGCGCAATAATAATGTGGAATGAAAGTAAAAAGGGTTATCCCGTTACAGTTTTATGCCTCCTTTTCGACTCATTCATTACGAATGTCAAACAGCTATCGGCGCTAGCATCTAGTAGCGGACAACTCCGTTGTAAACGTCATTCTGCTGCTTTATTCTCTGACAGCCCTGAACTGTAACATTATTCCTGCTAAATTTTAACAACATTGGATCCATGCGTTTCCCACGTCCATGTGCAGACGCAGACGAAGCAGCAGACTCTTACCTAAACATACGAACAGAACAGACTTCCTACTGTTCGACGCCATGTTTGCCTCGTGTGTCCCGTGGTCCTTCCCTGAACTACATCATACGCAGCTGTTTTTCGATAAGCCTGATCGGAAAACTGTTTAACAGCTTACGTTTTATGCTGAAGAAAATCATATTCATTTTTACTTGACATATACATTTATGAATATTTAAACAAATAAATTATAATTACATATTGACAAACATTTGTTTTGGAAGAGGGTTCTGTTTATCCATTTGAAGGCTAATTGAGCTGAGCGTTCAAGACCCATGACGTCACTTTTTTTTTAGCGAGAAAGTTTCCTCTTTCCTGGGTGATTCTCATGAAGGTTTCGAAGATTTCAAACATGAAGTATTTAAAAAGACTTGCGTCAACATTTTTAGCCATTAATAACCAGGTCTGAAGTATTTGTAAGGGTAAATTTTAAATCATTTACAGAAAATACATTTCCCAAAACAAATCCTTATACTCATTACCTCAACAGTATGAAAACATCAAGACCATTAAAGTCAAAACATTTTCAAAATTTAAAAAAATGCTTATTGACAGTCATGTTGAGTTACTTGAAACTCTGAAAATGTATATTTTTAAATTAATTTTTAATTTGATTTTGACTAATCTTCTGTCATTACCGCAACATATTTCACTGAACCTTGAAATATTTTTGAAGTATTGTGGCAAACCTGAAGGAAAACAACATATAGATTTTACACATGGATTTAAAGGCAAACTACCTTACAGTTCGGTGTCTTACCACATTGTGTTTCCATTGTATGTATTTGGGGTTTGGTGCGATCGTTGAGTGCATATGTTACCGTCCTGTTCAAGACCAGAATAAAATTTAAAATCTTGTTCTGTCCCGGTGTTCCGGGCAATTCGGTTTCCCTATGTTTCCCCTGTCGCGCGCTGATTTGTACACGGTTTCGCTGTTGTTTTCATGTCTTTTTACAAAGCTCTTGAGGTAAACAAGCCATATTTTTTAAAACATCACATGTTTTTTGTTTTTACAGATAATAAATTAAAGTATTTCATTCGCTGGATAGAGATATTTCTTGATGAAAACGGTATAGTATTGCTTATAAGACTATATTATGCGTGACGATCTACTGTATTCACATGTAATAATGTACCTGAGTGATTTTCAGACATCTCACATACATATTTGCCTAAATATTAGGAGAAACATTATTTCCTGACATCCAGGATATTTGGTTCCCCCCTGTTAAAACAGGTATACAGCAACTCTGGGCCTCGGAACTAATAACAATACAGTATTCACATGTAATAATGTACTTGAGTGATTTTCAGACATTTCACATACCTCTTTGCTTTAATATTAGGGGAAACATTATTTCCTGATAGACAGGGGAAACATAGGGAAACCGAATTGCCCGGAACACCGGTAAGCAAGTCTCCTCGTCCTTCACTACGCTCACGATGCTTCGGTCCGCCTGGCGCTACAATATTATACAGTTCAGTTCTTGAACTCAATAGAACTCGAATTTCTTAAAAGTCGAACCAGCCAGTTCGAAAAAAATTACCTAGAGCTTGATCTGAATCTCAGAAGTCAAACCGTGAACACCGAGCTAAGATAACTTGTACGTGCTGGGAAATGAGTCATGCGGCAAGTTTCTCAGCGGAAACAGGGTAACGCTTCAGTCTTGCATTCGCTGTGATAGCATCCTGCATGTTTACACTAACTGAATACATATATTTAGACAGTAAAATACATTTAGACAATGACAGACAGTAACAGTAATTATTATTATATAATAAAATACATTTAAAAATAAAGATTTCTTATTTATTATTTTAATATTAATAATAAACCATTAAAACGTTTAATTATAATAATATTGTCCTGCCGAGCGGGGACGGAACGGAGACAAAGGCGCAGACGTCAGGGTATCGGGGAATACGGGGTTTAATTATAGGTAACGCAGACAAAACGCAGACGAACAATAAAATGACCGGACTGGGGAAACAAACTGAAACGCGGACGAAATACAAAGGAGTAATGACAACAACCAGAAACAGCTGATCATATGGGGATTCCACACGGGGTTAACGAGTGGGCGTGGCACACGGAAGAAGCGGACGATCGGGGCAGGACACATTGTTTGGATACATTTATTTTCTTACTTTACAAATTACTGTTTTGATAAATGTGCTTAGATGTGTTTAGTACAGTATATGCTCTTCTTGTTTTAGCATTTTGTGTTAAAAAAAAACATATTTCGGTGTAATTTTTTGGGGCCGGTGTTCTGTCGATATGTACTGCCTTATCGAAAAATGCTACCGTAGTGCTAATCGATAGCCCTAACCCTAACTCTTACCCTAACCCCCAAAACCCTTACCTTAACCCTAACCCTAACCCCTAAAACCTAACCATAATCCCAAGACGGTGGAACTGCACATGCGCAGAAAGGCTCGATAGCACCTCTCGATAGGTAGTATTTTTCGACAGAAGACCGGGAACCAATGAATTGGTTTTCCATTATTTCTTATGGGGAAAATTCGATCACAACTCCAAGTATTTAGGATTCGATCCGGTGTTCTGAACGGATTAAATTCGAGTTCTGAGGTACCACTGTATTAACTTAGGCTATATGCTAATTGACTTTGTAGACATCTGTAAACAACATGCACTTGTATAATACCAATGCCAAATTTCTATTTCTCTTATACATCTGAATGATTGTATTAGCTTTAGATCTTTATTGTCACCAGGATAAGTGATTGGAGGATGGATGGATGGATGAATTATTTAGGAGCTGATTTTAATGGCATTTTCTTACAAGCTAAACATATTTAACGTGAAAATTGTATACATAGGCCTAATATAAAAAATTGAAGGGCAAGCAAGTCTCAAAAATAATTATGATCGACATTTAATTTTTATACATTTAGCTTTTGTTATCTGGTTAAAACAACCTTTAGTTGACAACATTATTGCCCAGAGTAATTAAGTATGGAAAAGAGCTGCAATTGTTTGGTATTTTACAAAAGTTTACATGAAGGTCAATTCAAAATTCCCGTCTATAAATTATTCATTAACAATTAAATTATATCCTTGAGACAAGCATAGCCATTCATTCCAGTACCTCTCATGTACAACAGAGAAATCTCAATACACCAAGACCTCTGAAGAACACTGAGGCACTGAACTGAGATTAACTACTACTAACTTGTTTCATATTCCAGAAATAAAGAGAGTGAAAGAGGCTGTACCAACTGCATGAAAGATGTGGCATAAAAATAGACCTAATTTCCTCAGGCGAACTCTTTGTACTTTAACACCACACCCCATACTGTACTTTTAGTACTTTCCTTTTTCCATTGAGTACCAGTACCAAAAGTTCCAGTACCTAAAGTACCAAACCAGCTGGGGTCCTTTTTTGGTACTTTGGATCTTTGGAGTGGGACTTGCAAATGCTTTCTTTGTGGATTGGTTATGCAAATAGCCTGCCTCTGAAACATAATACAACCACAATCTTGAAAAAAGTTGAGAACTCAGAAAACAGCGATAAACTAAGCAAAAAAATAAAAGTAAAAAAAATAACAAAAAAAAAAAGTAATAATAATGGATGCGTAGACAAATAGAGATCCAAGCTTTAATTGTGATCTGGTTGGAAGAACAGATACAACAACAGGATGGCATGACAAAAAAATAAAAAAGTGTTTCACATAATATACCAAGGTAGCACAGTGTCGGAAATTTTGAAAAATATTACTATATAATTTTCTTGTGATAAATATCGAGATACTTATAAGAGCAAAATGGCAGTTCAACATAAATTTCTCATAAACCCTTCTTAGGCTAAGACAGGCCTAATAAATGCATTCTAAAGACATGCATGGTAGCTAGAATGAAATCAATTGTATTATGCAGTGAGTATTTGAATAAATAATGGACAATAGAAGTAAACAAATAAATGACCTGGTTATTAAGTCAACAGAGTGTTGGTGACTTTTGCACACTATGTGCCTCAGTACTCAGTGACCCCAGTCTGTTACTTTACATGGTCTGCCATTGACAACACTACAAATGGGATGGCCAGTGACACCTGCTGGTCAAGTCAGGACAGGGCAGGGACTGGCCCTGACAATGTTTTTGATAGCAACCTGCACGATATGGAGCGAACATGACCCCCCGAACAGAGGTGGGCTTCAAGTCCCTAACTCCATAGTGATGAGGAAGCAGTTTTACTCACCAAGCCACCTCATAGCCCCTGTGCATTAGGTAATGATTAAAATATACATGGAGTCGATTTGCTAGCAGTGGTTCAGGATTTAGCTACTACGTGTCTGTAAACAATAGGGAGTGTCTAAGTGAAACACACTAGTTACAATGTTACTCTGTACACATCACCCATGTAAGGAACCTGGCTATAATTAATTTATAATGAAGAGAACCTGATATGATGTATGATAAATGTGTGCATGGTTTATTGTAATTATTATCTTAGCATTACATTTGTTTAGTAAAATGCTTCCATTTGTCCTTGGCAGGGCACACACACACAGAGTTAGAGGTGGGAAATGAACCCACAACCAGGCTGTATTCAAACAAGTTATAAAAGATCATCTTTAAGTATAAGAATGAAGCATTTTGGAATAAATTACAGCTACATGTTTTAAAACATTAATTATTAAATATTGACATTCCCCATCTGAAAGAAATTCAGTTAATAATTGCTTAATTTGTGTTTATTTTTGTACTTTTTGTGTATGACAACAACGTTCTTTGTTGTTTGAGTTTCTTTTGACTGCTGGCAGTGTTTGAGTTCATGCACTTGTAATTTTACTTTAATTCAAAACAGACTTTTGTTGTCTCTAGTAATTCTTTTGTATTATACTTGTCCCTGGATACAGTGCTGATTAGCTTCTATCGGACACGTTAACATCGCTGTTAGCCCCACACCGTCAGACCGCATGAG